TTAAAAAATAAAAATCCAAAGAGGTATGAAAATGTAAATTTCATCAAATTCGTAAAATTCAACGACATTATTTTATATCCCTATTTCAGCTGAATTCTGGTAGATATCACAGCATCTGCCTGTAGGACTTGGGACAGAATCCTGTTAACTGTTGCTTGGGCACCACTTCATCTTCAGCTTGCAGTTGCACAAGCAGGAAATTGCCTGCTTCACTGTGAATATGCTGTTGTGCAAGTGCCAGAAAAGAACAAACAGGGCACATGATGAGCTGTCGTTTTACACGGAAGGAAAACGAGGAAGATGGTGGCTGAGGGTTCTTGCAAATAATGCTGAACTAGATACCTAGTATGGTGTAGTGGGCAGGATGATGGACTAGACTCAGGAGGCCCAGGTTTGAATCCTTGCTCAGCCATGGAAATTCACTTGGGGGTGTAGAAGTGGTAAAATCACTCCTTACAGACTTCACCTACCTTTAAAGCCCTTTTAGGATTGCTGTAAGTCGGCTCCAGTTTGACAGGTCAACACAATTTGGTCTAATTCCAGCAATGTGATTTGTATGTTCGTAAGCAAGACCACTAATGCATAGTCACTGAACACACTGGTTACAGTTTAATTGGTAAGGGATCCTGAATATTAAGTATCGCTTCACATATGTGAAATAATTTTTCTCTTCTCTGATCTCCAGAGTAATTCATGGTTCTATCCAAGATGTAACCCTTCTCCTTTGCTGTAAAAGGCAGATATCCCCATTGAAAGCATACAAAAAACTGAACAAAATCCATAGAATTGGCTTGTATTAGGGCTGGATTGGCACTGGCCAAACAGATGGAACTCTGAAACCTTGAGAGTGGACAGCTGGAGATTAGCATCCACACAATGTGAAAAGACTGCTCTATTTGGCTGATAAATCCCTTTCAGGAAACTGGTGTTGGGACTTTAAACTGGCCACTGGGAAACCCAGCATAAGAGTACAGTGCCACTGCAGAAAAGAGAGATTTATTGGAGTAGGATCTAGAGAGAAAGATATGGAAGGAACTAAGCATTTTCTAGAATCTTAAATGGTGCTCTTTGGGACAGGCTCCACTTTGGTTTGCGACCGTGTTACAGCTCCTTGAAAACAATGGAATGACATAATCATGCATGCTTTCTCTCCAGGAATGTCATGCAACCAAAATAAGCCACTCACCCAATTTACTCCCTTATATTTATGTTTGCCTTATCAACAAACTAAGGGTTTGGAAACTCTGTATTTATCCATTCTCAGGTATATGAGAGATATGAGAGAAGGGGAGCGATGCCAACAGGAACTTCCAAAAAAGCATTCTGGAAGCAGCAAATAAGACTTTGGTGCCCAGCAGTTTTAACTGCCTAATCCTGTACCCACTCTGTAACACCCCTAGTGTTTAAGAGGATTTCTTTCGCTGGCCGAAACAAAGAGCCCTTCAACCTCACCGGTAGCCAGAGGGTCGAAGGGATAGGACGGCACTTGAGCTGTTGGGGCACATACGGTACTTCTGGATGTGCTGCAGCACATTTTTCCTTTATAGCAGTAGATCAGATCCTCCTGCTTGAAGCCATTCACACTGGTATATGTCAAGGTTGACAGGCTGGGATTAGACTCCAATGAACACTTATTTATTCAGCCACTTGTTTTATTTATATCCTCCCTTTTTCTTCCAATAAAAGGATTCAAGGCAACTTACAAAATGTTTAAAAAGCAAATACAGCTTAAAATGCAATAAATAAAAACCAATTAAACACAACTGTTATGTAAAAGAAAATAATAACAATTATAAAAAAAACCCTAAAAAGCACATTTTAAAAGGCTGAGGAAAAAACTCAGCATCTCCCACGAAATCTCTTTCTTTGGCAATCCGTCAGTTGCTATGAATGCCTTGTTGAACACAAATGTCTTTTGCTTACCAGGGGAAGGACAACAGGGAGGGGCCTCCCTGGTTTCCTTTGGGAAGGACGTTCAGACCATCTATTGTATCCTCACCAGGGGCGCCTTTGAGGATGACAGGACCAAGATACAACCCTTTATTAGTGAAAGAAGATGACCCCAAATAGAGTTCTCTAAAACAGGGGTTCCCAATCTTGGATAACCCAGGTCTTCATGGGCTGCGATTCCCAGAAGCTTTCACCACCAGGTATGCTGGCTGGGATTTCTGGCAGTAGCAGTCCAAAGAACACCTGAGTCACCCAAGGCTGGGAACCACTGCTCTAAAACCAGCATAAACCACCTGAAGGTCAACTGGTATTTTACCTTTTCTTGATTTTAAACTGAATTGCAGCAATGGGAATACAAATGAGCCCACTTATTTCAGCTGTGGATCATGGACTGAGAGTCTGAGCTTTCTAGAACAAGGATGTCTACTCCTGAAATCAATAGGAATTCTTTAAATTAGTGCAAACACTACCCCCTATATTGAAGACCAGGCTGCTAAGAGATCAAAAGGTTGCTGATCACAGCCATACGTTCCTTTAAGGCCCTTTGCGATCTTACTACAAATTTTGTCCAGTCATTTTTCTTGAGGCTGAGGTGCCCCAAAGGTTATCAAGAGCTTGAGTATGTTACCACCTCCTGTTAGAAAAGAAATTTCTGTGGTTTGAGCATGATTGCGGCTCCTTTTAGTCTAAGCATTGGAGCTCTCACACAGTCTTAACGGTATCCCTTAAGTGCGCAAAAAAGGCACCAGAGATTTCAACGCCATTTGCAGGTGGGGTAATAATGCTTCAAAGCTGCAAGACTATTACTAAAATAGAAGCGTGCCATCCCTTGGGGTTCTCTCAGTGTGGCTGAAGCTGTCAAATTCATGGGCTTGGAACATCACGCTGCATTTAAGACCCTTTGATAACACAGCCTATCTACACTGAGATATGGTGTTGCATTTTCTAAAGGGGTTGGCACTGATTTGTCTTAGGGAGGAGATAAGGGCTTCGAATAACACCTCGTAGTGTCAGGTGAGTCGGGTATTTCTAGCTAAGAGCCCTGACACCAGGTTTCCGTTAGAGTACTTCAATCAGCTCATGGTTCACGTTGCCCTTGTTTCCAAGTAGTCGGAAATCTCAGCTGACAAACAGAAAGATTCCCAAGTGACAAAGGCAGGTGAAGAAGAGGAGCCGCATAAAATCCCATACTTTTGAAAACTTCTCACGACGTCCCTGAATTATTTTTGAATACTGCTATCCAAGGATCACAATTCTCATCACTTTGCCTTTCTTAAATCTAATCTGCTTAATTCCCATGGATTTTTCAAACAATGGCGCTGGCTAAAATCATTTGTATAAAAAATGTTCTCCGTTTTCCTTATTTGAAGCAGAACCTCATCATATGTGCTTTTTGTACCCAGGGAAAAGAGTAGGACACGGCAGCTGTAACGCATGATTTCTGCATTACGACTGCTGGGTCCTACAGGGAATGGGGGAATTAATGCATTTTTAAAATTGAATGCTTGGACCTAAATCCAATTGCTAGTCCCGACCAGAGCAGACCAAGTGAATCGATTGCTGAATAGTAAATCAATACTTGCATAAATCCTGATCATCCACTGGATGTACTCTTGCTGGGAATACCAATTAGATTTTAGACCCAGATGTGTGTTTATTTTTAAGAGCGTTATGTGCATATACACATTTCTTCTATATTCAAGCAACCTAGTAACACCCAGCTTGGATGCCCTCTGTTTTTAATCCAATGAGCAATACTAGCCCCTTGCATTACTTATTCACTCAGAATTCCCTTCTTTCCATTTGTGGGTTCTGCCAGCCTTCTCCACACATTTCTGTCCCACACACAGTGGGCATGGATACAGGCAGGAGCCCTAGCATTGTGACAGCCTATATTATTCATCCCCAGGTATTATGTTGTCATGAGCTGAAATCCTGTTCCTTAGGGTAGTAAGTTGCATAATAGGCCCAATGAATGAGTGACAGTGTGGTGAGTCAACTTCTTAATAAGTTCCTTTGATTCAAACAGGCTTACTCTAATGCAACTTAGTACACTGGAGTAAGATACAACTAAAGAGGGCTCATTTGAATCAATGGATCTTATGGAATTGATTCACCCAGTCCCCGCTGATTCAATGAGCCTACTGCAGTGTGACTTCCGATGCTCTGCACATTCAGGAGCTTTTCCAAGGCTTCTCAACATGGAGAAAGAGCTCTCTGCATGTGCAGTTACATGCCCAGACATTTTCAGATCTTAGCATGAATCCACAGCTGTATACTTGACAGGTAAGGGGGATATCTGATGGAACTGGTATTCATCATATATCTGCTTCCCCCAGAAAGGTAATATTTGATGCTATCAGGACAGCAACAACCTGAGAACCTGATGCGAACAATGAACAGAGTGCTCAATTAGTGGGGACAAGGAAGAGCCAGAGCCAAGCAGAAGGTCTGGAGGTTGCAGCCCAAGAACACCTGGGTTGTCCAAGGTTAAGAACCACCGTTGTAGGACTTGCCATCAATTCACTTTTACTGCAACACCTCCAGTACTGTACCAACTGTTAAAAAAAAAACCTGAGAAATTCTGCCCCCAGAAGAGCTGTCTTTTGCTCCCGTTGCTTCCATTTTGCTGTCTTAAGCCGTCAATAATTGAATGTGTCGTGTTTTTGTCCTGCAGACTGACCCCGTATGAGTGGTACAGCCCCCACCCCTGCTCTCAAGGGAGATGCAATCTACTGGTCAACCAGTACTCTCTTGGAAACAGCTTGTGGTTTCCTGTTGGTGGGTTCATGCAGCAGGGCTCCACAATTGCTCCTCGAGCGCTATCCACCCGTTGTGTCAGTGGAGTCTGGTAAGAAACCACTCAGCTCATCTTTCCTGCAGTTAAAAGTACGTGGCAGTGCTTCCAAAATGGATTGTTCTTAGGGATCATTTTGGTAACAGTAGACAGAGCAGAAGATATTCCAAGTAATGGCAGTAGATACGCTGCTAGCACTCTGGATCCATTTTTCTGTGATATCTCCTTCAAGGTTTATCTCTGTCAAGAAGTTCTGTCCATTTTCAAAACATTGATGGGTCCTCCAAGCACTCAGTCTAGGTCTCCATTAGTGCTAGAGCAGGCCCATTTTTAATTGTTGCCAAGGAAGAGAGTAACTGGGCATAATTTTTTTCCAAGCCAACAACATTCCTTGCCATACTTGATTTTCCAATGAATCACTACTAAGGAAAGCACAGGCAATTCACTGTCTTTTAGAAGCAAGCATCTTGTTGGTGCATTTTTCAAGAGAAAGGGATGGTAGATGGCTCTATAGATAGTGTGGACCATTGCCGTTTGTCTGCTTTTCTTTCCCTCAAGGTGGGCCTTTACCTTGATTATCATCTCATCCTATACGGCCAACCTTGCTGCCTTTCTCACTGTGCAACGCATGGATGTGCCCATTGAATCAGTAGATGACTTGGCTGACCAGACAGCGATCGAGTACGGCACAATCCATGGAGGTTCCAGCATGACATTTTTCCAGGTAAACTTTCTGCTCTGTGATTTAAGGGGAAGACAGACTCTCTGCTTCTAACACAACAGATCCCTATCTGATTTGTATGGGAACTTTTATCTAACCTCTTATCTTAGACAGTGTCTACATGCACAGGTACTTCGATTTAACAAGGTCTCAAATGCTCTTTATAAGTCCTCTGTTGTCTCACCAAGAGCTGACTCAAATATTTAGAAAATAAAACACTCGGCAGCATCTTCCCAGGAGGAATGAGCAGTAGAGAGGATTGTTTTATTTACACATTTTTAATGCCATCCTTTCTCCATAAAATCATCTGGCAAGTTTCATGGCTGAATGGGGATCTGAACCAAGGTCTCTCAGCCGTAGTCCAGCTTTCTTACCAGTATAGCACAATGCGTGCAGAACGGTAGGAGTACAAAAAAGAATAAAAAGATATTGGCAAGCATTGGTGAGCAGCACATTTTACAGTAATAATGGGAGAAAGGAATGGAAAAACTTGCTACAGAGGCTTTGAAGGCTTGATGCTGAGGAATGATGGGAGATGTGATCCAGAAACATCTAAAGGTGAAACAGATAAGAGGTGAGAGAGTGGAAGCAAACAACGTTATGTCTTGAAAACATTCTGGAACATCTTTCTAGTGCCACAAATCCATTCTGGAACATCTGAACAATTGTACACTGAAAAACGCTTTGAGCATGCAGATTGATCTGCTCATACAAATAAAGCACATTGAGCAGACCTTCACAGTCAGATGTTATGACTTTTAAATAGACATGTCCTTTCAGTTTCCATTCAGAAACTAAGCACTGTTTTGCTTTTGCTTCACTCCCTGATACTTACTGGTTTAAATAATTTAGGATTAGCTCTAAAACGGCTATGTATCAATTTCTGAACCCAGTTTAAACACCGTGTCCTTCAAGGTCCGATTCGTGATTAGTGGAAGGACTGCCTCCCTTTGTATGAATCTGTCTTGAGCCTTTGTTTCAAAAACACTGTTCTTGGGTTTACGTCTACTAGTCGTGTGACTGCCAGACATCAGATTTAGGATTTCCAATAGTACTCTCTTGGGATAAATGACTCCCAGAGGGAATTCAGCAGACTCCTTCTCTTCCAATCTCTAGGTAGATTATGTAGTCATTTTGTTGCTATTGTTGTTCATTTAAACAAGTGTTTTGAGGTGGAAGATTTCTGTTCTAAAACTGCAATTTGTTAGATCCGTGCCTGGTGAATTTGGAAGTTGTAGCTGCATGACCCAATTCTGTACTCTTCTAATTGAGTTTAAAATTTCCCCCTTTCTCATCTTTATTGTTCTGTTGCTTCCTTTTTTTTAATATGAATTGCTTTTCACTGTAATATTGCGGTTTGTTTGGCACTGTGATTAGCTGTATGCTACTTTGAATGTTCTTGTGCAGGAATGCTGTATATAAATGCCATGAACCATATACATAAATAATTGAGACTAAGGAGATAATTCCGCAAGTAAGATTAATAATGAACTTTGGGGGACGGGTTATCACCTTGCCTTTGATGTTCCATCACATAAGCTTCAGCAGGGATTTCATGCTCTTTATGTAGATCAGCCCCAAATGCCACCTCAGGCCAAGGGCACTCCTTTAACCTCTTGTCTGCTCTCTGGTGCGTTTTCAGAATTCTCGGTACCAGACATACCAGCGAATGTGGAATTACATGTACTCAAAGCAGCCCAGTGTCTTTGTCAAGAGCACAGAGGAAGGGATTGCCCGGGTGCTCAACTCTAACTATGCCTTCCTGCTGGAGTCCACCATGAACGAGTATTACCGCCAGCGCAATTGCAACCTCACGCAGGTCGGAGGCCTTCTGGACACCAAGGGCTACGGGATTGGCATGCCAGTCGGTAGGCAGTGAAGCAAAATTCTAGCTATTCTGAGCTGTCTGCAGAAGATCAGGGCATTCACAGGCTGAAAGGGCTTCAGAACAGATACCAGACAATATTTTTGACACCTTATATGTTGCTGAGCTTCAGAGGGATACTAGGTTGATGAATTCAGTTGAACAGCATCTGAGAAGAACAGTTTAAAAACATTTCATTGATCATCCTTATTTTAAAAAAAGAATTCACTCTGTTCAGACTAGATTTCATCCGGGTAAAAGGATAGAGATTTTGATCCATTTTTTAAAAGTGCACCACACTTGGCATTTTACAAGGCTACCTGGTGATAGCTCTTCTATGTTTCTCCAAGGTGAAAAGTAAAAGAAGCAGGTATAAGATTAGCTAACCGTTAAGGGCAGGGATGTCCAGAGTTAACTAATGTTTTAAAACAATTAAATTTACAAGGAGCAAGACACACAATTTAAGGACTGCCTATCAGTCCAGAGCTTGAAAGAACTTCATAAATTTCACAGGCTGTGAGCTTAAATATCTCACGAGGCACCGTTCACCAAAAAGTGATGCAGTGCCAGCCTCCCGCCCAAACATATGGAAGATGTAAAGCCGCATAGTAAAAAAAAACAATTAACATTCTGGAGGGGATGCTATAGGTTGCTAGTGCTGCAGAAATCTCATGAGCAAATACAACAGTTTGCACTTCATGAACGTTTTTCGCTCTTAACTTCCACATCATTCTTAAATGATTTGACAGTATGTTGTTTAACACCATTAACGTATATGGTATACTGCAAATCAGTTGACACTGCTATGTAGCTAGAATAATTAGTCTCCCTTTGAATTCTCCTTGCTGTGGATCATAACTCTTCCAGTATTACTTTTCATATTGATGGTACAAAGTAGGTAGCCAGTCGTGTTCTCTCTCTGAACAGAATATACTGAATGTGAATTACAGGGACATGGTGGCGTGGAGATGTTCCTCTTCCAATGTTGTTTGCGCCATCTGATACGGAACAGTTTCTCTTCTTATCCTTGTCTCAGTAGGACTTCTCCACAGATGTTGTGGAAAGTGTAGTTGAACACCAAAAGATGCTGTATGATGCAAGTCATGAGCCATGGAAAAGACTACATTTACTAAAAATGCTCTGGAAAAGTTTGGATAGATACAATGAGTTTGGGAAAGTCCTCATTGGTTGTGTTGAAAGATGAGCACAAAATGTTATTTTCTAACAGCTGCATGACTCCAGTTTAGCATAGAAAGTCACCAATTCAGTATCCAGCATCCTCAGGTACTCTTTCAGTAACTCTGTAGAGCCACTGCCAGTTAGTGGAGATAAGTACTGGCCAGTAAAAACACATCAAGGCCCAGAGCTACATTAATTTTATACAGCCCTACAGCGTAGGTAGGTAGGTAGGTAGGTAGGTAGGTAGGTAGGTAGGTAGGTAGGTAGGTAGGTAGGTAGGTAGGTAGGTAGGTAGGTAGGAAGGAAGGAAGGAAGGAAAAAGAGAGTAAAGCTTGACATATCAAACTTTTGGTTTGTTTTGCATTTAAAAGCCCATCGTATCCCAAGCTGTTAGCCTACTTAGTTTGTACATAAATCTAACATTGGGTAGATGGACTAGAGATCTGACTTGGCATGAGACAGCTTCTGGCATTCCTCTATTTTAGATCCCACACAGGGGAAAAACAGGTGGGGAAAGTCACAAGAGTGGGGGGGGGCTGCATGAAGGTTAGAAAGCACCTTGGGGCTATCATTTCATTATAATGAAATTGTGCCTTCATCCAACTGTTTCTTATCTGCTCAGCAGCAAAATCATAGTCCAGCCTGTGCTGGCTGCTGTCATACTTAGTTAACTGTGAAGCATCTCACAAATCCATAAAGGAACAGGAGCCCCTGACCACCTGGGATTTCACAAACCGAAAGAGACGTGTTATCCTAATATTCATGGTACAAAATCCGCAGGCCTCTTGTCATTGCTCACGGTATAACTCTCTTTCAGCCTCCTAAAACAAAAGGGGAGAGGGGATCACATATTGATGGTTTTGGGGAGAAATTGGATAAATCTATCTATTATTTACTTCCCTACCTACTTGAGAAGGAGTCAAGAATGAGAACATACATACAAAGTGGGATAGGAATAAATGAATATATTTGCCCCTTTCTGTGGTACAAGTGATTGCTAGATTTACATATTGAAGTCAGACGGGAAAAGAATCAGAAACATAGAGAAGCCTGTTCCTCAATTCATATATAAAATAATTCATATATTAAATTCATTTCATATATAAAAGAAAGAAATCCAAAAATATTTTAAAAAGAAATCCAAACCACCAAAAGTGTGAACAAAGAAGGTAGTTTCAGTATATGTACAGGAAAGCTAAAGGATCTCTTGGAAATTTCTACAATAACTTAAGCATTTTACATACCTACCTTGAAATTCAGCTTTAAAAAAAACCCATGTAGAATATTTGCTCCAACTCTGAAATGCCCTTCTTCATTTGGCAGGATCTGTTTTTCGCGACGAGTTTGACTTGGCCATTCTCCAGCTGCAGGAGAACAACCGCTTGGAAATCTTGAAGCGCAAGTGGTGGGAAGGAGGGCAGTGCCCGAAAGAAGAAGACCATCGTGCCAAAGGTAAAAACTCTTGCTTTCTTAGCATCCTCTCTTATTTCCTTCCATATTTGTCTGTTAATGAAGATGTGCTGCGAGGGGAACTCTCTTAACTGGTGAAAACAGCAAGGACGGTGTCACCTTTCCAGCTCAAGGGTTTTAGAGTCTGCCCAACGAGAGAGATCTTTCTTAATAATGTGAGGAGAAAGCAAAGGCAGTAGCGGCTGCGCCTCATGCTGCGTGTTCTTGCCTGGGGCAAAGAGAGTGAAAACAACCGAATGACAAATACTGGAGTCATAGGGAGGGCAAATGAGCTTCTAATGAATGTCCACCACGTTGTAGCAGAAAATAGATCACTCAAGGGATGTTGTCCAAATTCTGAGGTCCTTTAAAAGGCAATGGAAGTGCGTCAGAAGAGGTTGCTGCCTCATGGTCCAATCTAAAGTAACGTTAGATGTGTGAGGGCAAGTTGAAAAGACTTCTGGAGCTGACAGTCAAGACCTTCTGAGAAGTTTATGCAAACCACCAAAAGAGATTGAGGTCAAGATCTCAGAACTAAGAACCACCGTGGTCCACGTTACGGCTGTGGTGGTGTTCTCGTTTATAAACAGGCGTTCACTAACTTTGAGAAGAAGGGATTTCTTTTCTTTGCAGACTAACGAAAGAGCTTTGCCTCTCCAAAATCAGGCAGCAACAGGCAATTGGTTGGTGTGCTTTCTAATATGCTGTTTTCTAAGATCAAGTAGGAAACAGGAACACAAACAAGAGGATACCATAAGTCTGGGAACCACTGAGGGTGTGATCACACAGGCATGTAGGTTGCATGTGGACCGCTTGTCGTGTGGTTTACTGTGAGCTACTTCCCAGCAATCACACATCACATGAGGAAACAGCGTTCCAGTCCAATGCCAATTCACATCCAAGCTGGACCTTTTTTGATCCAGCAGTAAGGCTGCTCTTTTGGGCGGCTGGGCTGGGGCAACTCCCTGGCAGATGGAAAGGGTGTTTTAAGGGAAATTGTTGTCTGCAAAGTTACCCTTCCCGGTGTAACCAGATGTGCACCTTTCTTGCCACCTGATCTCACTTTGAATCAGACAAACTTTTTTAAAATAACGCACTGGGTTATCTATACACTGTATGGCCTTTACAATCTAGTTTTAAATATATAGATGAGAACATCTGTGGGAAAGGAGCACTGAAAGGTTTTTCCTTCAGGATGCCCCAAAACATTTGGAAAGAAAGATAAAGGAAACAGGACTGAAACAGGTATCCCCTTCATTTTCCTCAAGTTCTTTGATTCTCTCATTAGAATACCAAGTCTTCTATTGATGAACTTCGAAATCCTTTTGCTTTTTATGCTTTAGGAGATTACCAGCCATTTGGCATGGTAGGCAGGCAGTTTTTACAAACATAGGATTGCATCACAGAAGCATTTCTGAGTGCCTCACTGGCCAGTACCAGGCATTGGGGACTTGTGAGAGCGCTAATTGCTTTATCTTGACATACCAAACATATAACTGAACTTCAAAGGGACAAAAATAAACTGCTAAATTATGAAGCAGTTACTAGAGAGAATGAGGAAGCAAGAGAGAGCGCAAGTAGGAGGATGGTGCACACACAGGGACCTGTCACTCCGTGGGAAACTCAGAGGAAGAGAGCAGACGCCTACAAATCTCAGGCAGCAGAAGCAGCAGGTGGGCTGATGCCAGTGCAGACAAGAAGGTGTTTGTGCTGCAGATCGTGTTTGGCGACCTTTGGCAAGGAAGGCAGCAGCTCCAGCAAAATCAGAACTATGTTCAGTTGTTGCTGACTGGGAGAACAAGACATGAGGGAGATCCATTGCTGACCCACTTTGAGAGGGCAGGAGAACATACGGAGCTCCCTGTTGTCAACATTCAAATCACTATTCCAAGTGGAAAAATGCAGCCATTCATCTGTAGAAACTACGTTACTGGATCATTATTTATAAACCGTTGTAAACAGGCACACTTATAAGTTGTCTAGACACCTTAGTGAGGCAAAAATAGTATAAAATTTGGGGGGTTAGGGAAGAAGCAAAGAGTCCCCCAAACTGGGTCAAACATATAGCTTGTTTTTGCATGCAGATTGCTACCGAGGAAAGATGGAGTTTGCAGAATCAATGTGAAACAAACACAGTCTCATCTCTGTGCAGAGAGAAAGCCTAACCGTGACCTCAGTATATCTGTCTGCTGCTTTAGGGAACACAAAGATCTCTTTGCTGGCTTAGAGGGCAGTCTTTATAGCAGCAAAACAGAAGATTTCAGACAAGTTAAAAAAAATCAGTTAAATCAGGTAACTGGTATTTCCAAGAGCACAAATAATTCTGTCATCTATCCATAGAAGCAAATACCATAATTATTTGCCTGGAGTGAATTCTACTGCTGTAGTAGAATGCTGTCACTTAACCCAGAAAAGTACACCAAATATTGCTTCCTGGCCAAGTGACTAGAGATGCTACATAAACAACCAAAGTCTGATAAATACTGAGCTCTGGACAATGTTCAGCTGAGTTGTTTTGCTACCTCCAGCTCCTCTTATTCTGACTTTGGCTCTCCAGACAGGCAATTGCACCTGAGTGGAAGCACATCTTATAATGGGTGTGATTTACTGAGCAGTAGGAGTATCCCATAGGTTCTGCTGAAAGAATGTTAGAGAACAAAGAGATGTAACTCTCAACTTTTAAAAACAAAACAGCAGGTCAGTGATTTACAACTAGTTGTGGTGAAGCTTTATATCTAAAAGATGTGTGAAGACCACCAATAAACCGTCAATTCTCACACCTGATTCATTGTTCCAGAGGGGAAATAAGATTGTATAGGGATCTTGGTGAGTAACAGCTGTACGTAACCCTAGCATAAGCCAAGAAATAATTTGCAGTTATCAATTCCACCCAAAAATAACAAGCAACAGAGAGACAGCATTGTTCTTGAGGCGCTTCTATCAAGAGTGATGGGCTCAGGTACCTGTAGATTTTATCTTGGTACCAACCTAACTATAACCAGCTATTATTATTTCATTGTGGGTGAAAATAGGAGTGTACAAGGAAAAGGGACCGTGCCGTCAGTGTGCCTTTTCAAGGAAAATAAGTCAGCATTCAAAGGCTGAAAGGGGAAGCAGCTGTGCTTGGCTACACCCAGTGAGGCGCACCTGCCAGAGTGGGTGTAGTCAAGAATGAGGGGAATTGCAGTCTTACATTTGGAAGGAGCGCATTTTCCATCCCTGTTACAGATCGCTGAATGGTCTCCCAGTGCTTGGGACAAGTTGCATTAAGAGAGCCCCTACAGTAATTAACAGCAACAAGAAGTCATTCTGCTCTTTTATAGGCAAGCAACTTTTTCTTCCCCGGGAGTGACAAGCGTAGGAATGGGAAGAAACTATGTGAACCTTCAGGGCAGCGAAAGAGCTGGCAGAGCACTGAAAGAGGCTTGCAAGAACCTGAAGACTCTTGGTGGGCTCGGCCACGAACCTAAGCTGTGGTCCACGTCACGCTGCCTTTTCCTCTGCTTGTGTTTCCCTTTGCATCTTGTGTTGCCTATTTCAGTTAAAGTCACCTCAGGGAAGGAGATCTTCATCCTTATTTATATCAAGGCACAAGCTCTGTAAGGGCTTGAAATAATAATCATAGTCAGCTTTCTTCAGCACAGGCTAAAGAGATGCTCTGCTTCTGATATCAATCTGGCCTAACACTGTGGTCCCACAGACATATTCCTGGTCTTTAACGGGTATACTGCTACATTCCTTCTCTTTGCTCTTTCTAACATGACCTAGGCAAGGTATTTCAGCAGAATTTATCTGACTGCCAATGTGCCTCTTCTTTGTTTCTGCTCCATCTAGATACCCCCTTTGGTCAAGTATATCTTTACTGCAAAATTATTTGCCAGATGGTTTAAAGGAACAGTTCTTTTAACCACTCACCAATCTGTATTGGCAATTCGTCCTTTGCTGTTGCCGGGCAACCAGCAGCACATAGCCATCTTTCTAATCCCTGATGTGATATATTGATTATTAAGGTCATGGCTTTCATACAAACTTTAGGTGTATGCAAAGGAATGTGGCTAAAGGTCTACTCTCACAATCATTAAATTACAATAAAGGTGAAGGGGATAAATTCTAGACTTTCAGCATTCTCTACTTAACAAGCCTGCGCAACAAAGCAGCTGCTATGGTAGTTTTGCGCCACTCTAACACTTGTGTGAAACTACTATTTTGTGTTATTTGTGCAATTTTTTCCTTCTTTCTCTACAAGAGAACATCCCAAAATACCCAACCAACTTTGTGGGGCAAGGAGAATAATTTTTCAGTTCCTTGTCCTGATACGTACATAAGGATTTATGTCCCTGTTACCTATCAGGATTATTTTACAGAAAGACTTTGTGTGTCCAATACTTCACACGATAAAATGATGTGTTTTTAAATGTTAGTTTTATATTCTTAAGACAATAAAGTTCAGAAACCATCTTTTAGAAAGGTGGATGGATGTGAGGCCTGATTCAAGTTTAACAGTTCAGGTTTAACAGCAAAGGGCTCCTTTCACACTGTTGTTCTTTCTGCTGGTGGTTTCTTTTCATAGGTCTTGGAATGGAGAATATAGGTGGAATCTTTGTGGTTCTGATATGTGGTTTAATCGTAGCGATTTTTATGGCAATGCTGGAGTTCTTATGGAGTCTCCGACACTCTGAACACTCTGAGGTAAGACTCTGCCAGAGGCGTACAGTCTAACAGTTGGTATTAGAAGTGTCCCAGACCAAATAAATGCAATTTTAAAAGGGGTTGGCAGTGTAATATTGAACATATCTGCTTCCAGCTGAGGTGACTAATTCATAATTCCTCACTCCATATTAGACTTGAATTTCCAAACCACTATCATTTAGTGGCAGGTAGCATTAGTAAACTGATTGACTATGTGATCTTGGATATCTCTCTATCTCTTTAAATCAGAGGTAGTCAACTTCTAGTAATTCTCGCCAGTCCTCTCCAGCAAAGCCAACGCAAATTTTTGGTACTTACATGTTAATTTCTTTGGTTTGTTCCAACGCAAACCAAAGAAATTAACATGTGAGTACCAAAACATTTGAAATTGTAACAATTTGCTGAGAGAAGGGTTGCATTTTCTGACAGAACTGCAAGAGTGCCAATATTTTTGGCCATGACTGCATATAGTTATTTTACTAGGGGATGATGACCAGTGTTGAGCCTTACCCATAAAAAAATGAGCTAGGAAGCTGTAACTGCCACACGAATCTACATATTTCCCCAGGAAGTCAACACACTTGCGACATCTGTCCTGCAGCTTCTGAAGTCCCCGCAAATAAAATTCTTCCGACTGCTGGTATGACCACTCATTTGCAGCATTAGTTGCTTCCAGAACACTCCCAAATCTTTATCCCTTTAGATGTTTTTCGAGTTCGGGGAACAGATGATAGTCAGGAGTCAGGTCAGGAGAACAGGGTGGATGAAGCATCACTTGAAAGCCTAAGGAAGTCAGTTTCGCCACTGTTTCACCTGCAGTGTGTGATGAGGCATTGTCATGCAACTGGATGACACCTTTGTAGAGCTTTTCTCAACGTTTTTCTTTGATGTTTTGCCTCAATTTCGTCAATAAAGCACAGTAATATTTTGCATTGATGGTTGAACCCTGTTGGAGGTAGTCCACCAGCAGAACTTCCTTCTTATCCCAAAAAACTGTTGCCATTTGCTTCTGCACCAACCTTTGCACTCGGAACTTCTTTGGCCTGGGGGAACCACTGTGACTCCATTCCTTAGGCTGTTCCTTTGTCTCAGTGTCGTAACAGTCTCATCACCAGTTAACCAGTTGGTCCAGGAAATCTGACTCATTTCTTGCGAACTGTTCTAAGACAGCCACCGATGACTCCACACATTTCCTCTTTTGTTCAATTGTCAAGTTTGTGGGGATTCACTTTGTTGCCAGCTTTCTCATTTCTAAGTCGTTGTGGATAACGGCACCAACTCTCTCATGTGGTATTCCCAGATATGCAGCAATACTTTTGGCTGATATTCGGCAGTCCTCCATGATCATGTAATAATGGATGGCTTTCACATTTGCAGGCACAGAGAGAGAAACAGGCCTTCCACTGGGTTTCTCACTTTCAACACTGAAATGGCCAGTTAAAAATTGTCAAGCCAATGTTTAACTGTTGCATACGAAGGGCCACTGTCACCCATAGTTTGTGACATTTCATAATGGATCTGCTTTGCACCTTTTCCTTGGAGAAACAGGAACTTGATTATGGTCCTATACTGTACTCTTCCACACTGAACTTTTCTGGAGGTGCTGCCATGTTCACTTTGGACCTGAAAATTAAAGATAAGAAAATCATAGGTAGTTGATGTTTGCACCAATGAATATAGACAAATTGGCCAATACTCTCTGCTATTTACAGCTTCATAGCTCAATTGTTTCTGGGTAAGGCTCAATGCTTGTCAGCACCCTCTCGTAGGTCTAGTTTTCACTGACTGTGGCTGAACTCTTTACTGAGTAGAAAAATTCCTCCATGTAGAAAGCAAGTACAGAAAGCAAAACTTAATTCTTATTTTCTGACATCCAGTTTTCTGTTTGTGAGACCTTTTTTTAAATGGCAAAGTGCTCAGCAACACTGCAGTCAGATTATTTAGATCATAGACCAGCCTGACCATGCTCTATCCTCTGTCTGGACCTTTTTTTTGAGCCAGCAGCAGGCTGCTCCTCTTTTCGAGTGGGCTGGAGCAATTGGGACTGTACATAAAGATCACTTTAAAGACTCCTTTTCAAGTCTAGGCCCCTGGAAGCAACCCTTTCTGATGTTCAATTTATGTCACTGTCTGATTGCACTCTAAGTGAAGCAATACAGCTCCAAGTACTGCTAAAGTTTCAATGGAAAATTCAGCTGCTCACTGTTGGTTCTGATAAGGTAGTTAGGCTTTCAGGATCAGGTGGAGAAGGCTTCCTAGAGACACAAAACCCAAAAGAAAAGTCCTGTGACATCAGGAACTGGCAAGCTTTCCCATGTCTCTCCCAATGGGAGAGAATGATGCTGAGACATTTGTCGGTCGGAAACGAACTTTCCAAAAAACTCATCTTCTGCTTATTGCCCTGTGACAGGTGTCCGTCTGCCAGGAGATGATGACGGAGTTGCGGAGCATCATTCTCTGTAAGGACAGTTTCCAACCCCGCAGGAGGCGAGGGGGAATTATACGGACTCGCCCCATTATACAGGAAGAACGAAGAGTGCGCACTACTACCACACTCAGCAATGGCAAGCTCTGTGGTGGAGGCGATCCCGAGCAGCTAGCACAGAGACTCGCACAGGAGGCCGCCCTCGTTGCTCGAGGTTGCACGCACATCCGGGTGTGTCCGGAATGCCGGAGATTCCAAGGTCTCCGAGTCCGGCCGGGACCGGATTCCCCTGGACAAAGCGATGAGAGTTTGGAATGGGAGAAGGTGACAAACAGCAGTGAGCCTGAGTAAAGTGGCAGGGAGGTGATGAAACAGCAGCAGCAGCAGCAAATGTTCCATTTTACAGAACATGAGACTTGTACACAGTGTTGAACTATTTTTAAATTAATAAAGTGGTTCCCCAGCTTCTCAAGAGCAAATCAAAGCTTTACAGCTGGGGGATGAACCCAATGGGATTTTTTTTGTTATCTGTCTTGTGCAAGTATCTAACCTACCTACTTCCTGGAGTACGGGGAGGAAGCTTTCCATCTAGCCTGGGAGAACCCTTTTCTCAACAGCTTGCCTTTCAAACTTGAGATATGGGGTTTGAAAAAAGGAAGTCACTTGGAGGAGGCCGCCAGAGCAGGTTCAAATTCTAGTGAGAAATGACTATCGTATGGACTTTGTCACATTGGGCCAAGGATCTCTCCTTTCAGAAGATGGGGGAAGGGTCATTTTCCTTTAGATACTTTAAGGCCGCCGTGGTCTAGCACACCCGAGTTCAGGGAGCCATTCTGAGTAGGGGCATTCAGAGGTTAGGGCAAAGGGTTACCTCCCATATCAGTGCAGCCCTCCTAGGAAAAGTGCATTCAAAGAGTTATAATAAATACCAAAAACTAACCAACACAACATTCCACACAGAGGCCTTGAAATGGCTAGAATTTCAGGTGGCCTGCTTCTTTCTTTCCCTGTGTGGGATCTGGGGACATTTACCAATAGGAGACCTCTTTGGAATAGAGGGGTGTGTGTGTCAGTTTTCTCCCACCAGCAGAGGGTGGTAGAATTTAACTATCCCAGGTTATCTGTTTCTAAAGTCATGTCTTAACTTTATGTTAAGAAGAGATAGGACCTCACAATTATACATATCTGTAATGTGTGCTGTTCTTTTAAAGAAAGTCACTATAACTAGGCTGAGTACTCACTGTTGACCTCTCCTACATGACAGTTTCTTTGCTACGAAATCTCCTTGACTGAAGGTCACTATGAAGCAACATCTATGGTGTTTTCTGAAGGCCTTGGTGAGCATAATCAGTCAACATTCAGGAAATCCTTGTACCGATGGCGTTTTTTCATGGGACAGCTCCATTTCCTGATTGACACTTCTATGCAATTTCTCACTGTAAGAATGAGATGGGAAAATCACGATGGTGACAAACTCAAGTGAAAGACTATATCTTGTTCCTGGGTTCTTGTGGGTTTTATTTTTATTTTATGCTTTATTTTTGAACATACCGAAATAAAATCTGTCCTTCTATAAATATAGGGGTTTAACCCCCTGTATTTTCCTGAGAAACAAAAAGTGAAGTCCCAATTCATAAGATGAAAAGATGTGTAGTTGCTACTTTATTTATTTACATTCTTTCTACACATCAGAGTGGGTTGTTGTTGGTATTTAAATATGCAAAACAGAATCTTAGCCTTCTGTTTTTAGCTCTCAATGTGGAAATTTCAAAATTAACAACAAAGTATGCTGGGAAAATAAAACCCTTTCCTATTTTCAGGCACTTAATATCAAAATCCAAAATGAAAAGAGTGAGATAAAATTTTAATTTGGTTGTTTTTGCTTATGCTTTAATAACTGGAACCATTTTACTTTTTCTGTTAATATAAAAACAATTATTCATAATATATTTTAATAATTATGAATTAAACACTGGGCAAAGTCTTGCTTACGCCAGCACAACATAAAGTTATGCCAGGGTAAATATGCACAGCACTGTGCCATGCAATTGCACAATCGTTCACATACTGTACAACTGGCAGAAGTGCTTCATAGATAGCCCTTCTACCTTGGCGTAGGTTTGTGCAGTTGCACAACAAGATTTTGGTTAATATCTTCACATCCCACTTCTTATTATATTAAAGCAGTATAAATAGTTCTGTCCCATTCTCACTGACTTTCATACAATTTCCTCTGAGGTGTGGCCAGATGAAAGACAGTACCCATGATCACTCAGCAAGGTTCATGAAATGATGGGAGATTCTAACCAGCATTACTCTGGTCCTCGCCCAACACTTCCATAACTACCAGCCAAGAAGAACCGGCTGAAATTATTGAAGACTGTTGAGAAGAATGCCGCTGGATTGAATCAAAAGGTCTTCCTGACACAGCCTTTTGCTCTACGTGACAGCAACCCAATGCCTCCGGGGAGATCTACAGGTAGTGCCTGAGGGCAAAGGTACTCTCCCGCTGTTGCTCCCTATGCATATTCCAGCAGCTGCTCTAACTCTGTGAGATTAAATATAAAAATATCACTTTGGGTGGCCATGCTAGCTAGGAACTTTTGAAATTAAGAGTCCCAAAGGTAAACTTTTCCAGTTTTTTTTTTTTACCAATTAACAACAATCTTGGTGGCAGTACACTGAATTGACAATATCTTGCTAATCAATTATAATTAGTTGATAAGGAAGCCACGAGAATACACAGCATGCACAATTGAATAATTCAGCAAAACATGATATATGAGACAGGTCAAGTAGTTACGCTCCTAAATATTTGTGAAACATCACTGTGACTTGTAGTTCAGTCATACAAACACTATCATATCCACCTGACAGCAAGAGATAAACTCTTCTGAGCTTGGCTGCATTCTGTTTAAGGCTGGCATGTTACACAAGGAGTAGGGAACAGTCAATTTAAAAATGGGCTTTTCAATGTTTATTTACTGGTTACCCAAAGAGTAATGGCGGGGGGAGATTCAAATAACTGACTCTGAGCTTCCTTTGATGGGGTGAATATACTTTAAATATTACCTGCTGCTAATCAGCAACAAGGTAGGTACACTCCCCTGATGCTGTGTATGCTGGCTTTCCATGTGCAAAACTGACTGCTAGATTAGACGTATCATTAAGCTTGCTTACTTTCCATGGCACTGGTGGAGCATGCAGGTGAGTATTTCCACTAAAAAGAAACAACGACCATTCTCTTACATAAGAAGGAACCTTTAAGATAATCCTATTTTTGTGTGTACCCTTGCCCTTTAACAGTAGTCTAACACAATAACACATACACTCACACTCTCTCTCACACACACAAACATTAAACAGACCAAGCTTCTTCCCCTCCCTCGACAGGTTGGCACAGAAACAAGGCCAGCAAAAAGTCAGCAACTCTAGCAGCCAACAGTGCTATCTAAGGAGTTAGTAAACTGGGCATTAAAAAACTTCACATTTTCAATGAATTAGTAATAAGATGTTGAAAACAATGCATGAAGGAAATTAAATGCTTTATAGGTCAGACCTGATTTTTCTTCTCTTCTTATTAAATCACTAAATTCCCTTTCCCAGTATACACTTCACATCCAATTTGGTACACTGGAGATCTCTTGGTGCACAATTCTTTCCTTTTTGTGTGTCTTGGCTTGAATCAGAGTTTTGCGATACAATACGAATTCTGAAAAGTAAGCAAATGAATAAAGGTGTTTTAGGTGAGGATACGTTCTTTGGTATCAGGACAGGACACACACTACTCTCTCTCCCCTTTGCTCTCTGCTAGGCATAAAATTAGCCTCCTGGAAGCAGTCCCCAGTGGAAGACGTTTTTTTGGCCTCTTTCCTTTGACCAGGCCCACTCACATGCAAATGAAGTTCATGGTTTGTCATTTGAAATGCACTTTCCCAGAATGCCTATCTATTGATAAAATGTGGTAATTCTAGAAAGGTATCTGTCTAAATCCCAGTGGGAACAGAAGATTAGATCAATTCAAATATAATTGCTTTAGGCCTTTTAATTGTTTCACCACACCTGCTTTCCATTATGAGCCTTCAGCTTCAAAACCCCCAGAGGCACATGAAACAAGGATTTTAAATTCCTCTACGGCTAAGTCTCTATGTTCCATATTAGAATATTCATACCGGAGGTTTGCCAAGTTTGACTCCTAGGCAAGCTAAGTAAGACTCCTAATATGATAACTAAAATACTGGGACTACTTTTTTTAATGAATGTTTTATGGGTTTTGATTTCCAGGCCAGTTAATTTGCACTCAGCTCTGAAGGGATATTATTTTTCCCTTAGGGTCAGGCTGGGACTTGACTTCTGGATGCATTAATGTATTGACAAGGGTCATGGGGTGTCTCAGTACTCTGCAGATGCAATTACTGAGATTTCTGGTTCTGTGAAATCATTCCAGAATCATTTTGCAGTTCCAAAGCCTAAGTGAAGAGATAAAGCCCACACTGATAACAACGGACATGGGACTGATCCTCCTATTTAGGTCAGCATTTCTTGTAAGAATGACTACTTAACCCTTTCTTTGGCAAGTTCTTAAAAAAATAGCACAATGCCCTTTTCAAACAGTAAAAGAATAGCCAGTCCCTTTTTATTCTTTTCCATCTTGTTTAGCTGCCTTTTACAGTACATTCCTTTGTTTTTCCTATCAACTGACTACTTGGATTTAGAGAGCAAATACAGACTCAGTTCTCTTTTGATACAGCTGGTAACAATTCCAGTTATTTGAACAGGCCTTCGTTCCTGTAGCACCACAGGAATCTGATTCTATGTAATTAGAACACAATTCTAAAACTAGACCAATATAATTTGGAAACATTAGATAGACTATTCAATTTGCTGTCACAAAGAGAGAAAATTCATCTCTTACCTCCTAGATTCAAATCCCTTCTTGCATAAAACCATTGGCTAGCAATCTGCAAATTAATATTTATCAATTCACATACAGTGGTGCCTTGCTTAGCGATTGCCTCGTTTAACGATGTATTGGCTTGGTGATGAGGTTTTAGGAGTGATCTTGCGCTCCATTTAGCAATGTTTCCAATGGCGAAATTTCGCATAGCGATGTTCGGGACCTTGCTTCGCTTAGCGATGACAGTTTAGGTCCCCGATTCGCTTAGCAATGTTTTTGACAGCTCCGTTTTCGCTATTTTTAAAAGGTGTTAAATTGTTTAAAAAGGGTTTCGAGTGCTTGAAATCGCTAGTGCACTCAATAAACCCTTTGTTAACCAAATTTGGCTTCGTTCTGACTCTTTTTGAATTTTTGGTGATTTTTTTTCTCCCCCATTGAAATGCATTGAAAAGGTTTCAATGCATTCCAATGGGGGAACCGTGTTTCGCTTAGCGATGTTTCCTATGGCGATTTTCGCTAAAGGATGGCAATCCGTTCCCATTGAAATGGATTATTCGGTTTTCAATGCATCTCTATGGGAAAACGCGTTTTGCTTAGCGATGTTTTCCCATAGCGATGAATTTTTTGGAACCAATTAAAATCATTAAGCGAGGCACCACTGTATAATGCCAAACCATATTTGGCACTACATGAAGTATCCCAGAACTAAAGCCACCCATTTACCTAGCAATCCTACATCTATTCTCAAAGGCTTTCACAGCCGGGATCCAATGTCACAGACAGAGTTCTAACTCCTATCCTCTGAAGATGCTGGCCACAGAGACTGGTGAAACATTAGGAAGAAAAACCTCCAGAATACGGCCAAACTGCCTGAAAAACCTACAGCAACAACCCTATACGTACCGTATATACTTGAGTATAAGCTGACCCAAATATAAGTTGAGGCACCCAATTTTGCCACAAAAAACTGGGAAAATGTATTGACTCAAGTATAAGCCGAGGGTGGACAATGCAGCAGCTACTGGTAAATTTCAAAAATAAAAATAGGAGAAGGATGGGAGTGTCCTGGAAGTGGACACTCCCATAAAGATCTTTAAGAGATATAGTTGACAGGGAAGAAGGGGAGTGAATGGGCTTCCCTGGGCTTGTAAACAAAGATGCCCTCACTGTGACCTCTGTTCAGAGTGGTCTTTGAAAAAGTTTTCGACAAAACAAAGATGCCCTCACTGTCTGCTATTATCCTCCCAGCACAGTCTCTGCCTGCAGAGTCTCAAAAATGCAGTGTACTTAACCCAGGTCATTGGACCACCCACAGAGGCTGCAGGTGCCCATAGATGAGCGAGGGAGTCTGGAGAACACCCGCACTGCAGGGGAGAACATGTAATTTTGACACTGACTCAAGTATAAGCCAGGGGTGTGTTTTTTCAGCAAAAATATGCTGGAAAACTAGGCTTACACTCGAGTATACATGGTATTTATAAAGAAGTTCAGTATCATCGTGTACAATGGAACCTGCTGTCAAGAAACTGTACAGGATCACAACCTTTGTTACTTCTCATCTGGTGCTTAAAACAAGTGACCTGACAGCTGCATTCCAAACTCTTTCTCTCTCTAAAATATTTATATGCCATCTTTCTCCTGAAGTATCAAAGCTAACTTATAGTATTAAAAGAAACCAAGTTAGAATTAAATAATAAACTAACAATATTAAAAAGTATTAAGCAAATATATTAAAATTCATAAGGACAAAATTAAAAACACACGTAAAATACAAAATAAAATGTTCCCTTTAAAAAATCCCCTTGGCCACCCATTCTTTTAAGGGAAAGCCTGCCTGATGAGAAAGGTCTTCATCTGTTTGTGGAAGGATAGCAAAGATGGGGCCAATCGGAGTTCCCATGGAAAGGAGCTTCAAAGACCCCTCTCCTATGTCCCCACCAAATGTGCCTGTGAGGATGGTGGGACTAAGAGAAAGGACTCTTCTGATTATCTTAAATAATAAAGCGAGATGCGGTCTTTTAGAGAGCTTGGACCCAAGCTATTTAGGGCTTTATAGGTTTGAAACCCACTGTTTGAAGCAGGTTTGTACATCTAATCAATTACAAAACATAACTTAGATGTAGCCATGAACTATTATTTGCTGGCACAACCTGGGAAGTAAATAAAGCAGAACATACATGGGGAGAAACAAGGGGGTGTAGGAGTGTTTACAGCAGTGGTCAGGGAACAGGGGTAAATTACCCCAAATGGGATAAAAGTGAAAATCCTGGGGGTAATGAGCAGAGAGAAAATGGATGGATGGAGGGTGGGTGGGTGGACATGTGTCTGTGTGTGAGTGAGAGAGAGAGAAACTGACTCAAAACTACTGTATGAAAAAAGGAACAGGCAAGGCTTGAATTAAGGCAGGAAAAAGGGAGGAGGGAGGGAGGAAGTGTGTTTGTGTGTGAGAGAGAGACTGACACAAAACTATGAGTCAGGCAAGGCTTGAATTAAGGCGGGGAAAGGGTGGCTTCATCAAATACTGCACCATCTCCTTCCCTTCAAATCAAGGGGGTAATGTTGGCTTATATAATTTTTTTGGGGGGGGGGTAAAAAGTAAAAAAGTCCCCTGACCCCTGGTCTACAGGAACCTTAGACTCTTTCATATATTAGCAAACTAGAGTTTTAAAATATTAGAAGAATACCTCAGGCTCAGTTCTCAGAAAACTTTCACTCCTTAGTTCAAAAGGTGGTCTAGGTATAATTGAGGTTATTATTCACAGCAACAAACCAAATCCAGTGTGTCTCCATGCATGCTGCCAATGACTGCAACAAGTTCATAAAGCCTTCCAATGAAACTACTTGTGACAGTGTGCTGCATATGCCTTTATGATGACAGTCCAAAAATGACTACAGGTTTAGTATTACTGAAGCACTACACATGTAGATCTAAGTGGAATCTTGATGGGAGACCCTTGGGAAAAGTGGGTTTTAAGTACGGTAAATACATGGCTGTTATTCCTGTTGCTGGTTTCCTCCCTCTTCTCACAGTCACAGATACAGTTATGGTTCTTAAAACTGATTTTAGACAATTTGCTGCTGGAACATTGGATATTGGGATTCAACCATGAGTACACTGGTAGAGAAATAATAATCATTGTAAAGAGGATTTACTTTGAAGCATATGAGGTTCTAAGCCCATTATCCTATGCTAGTGATATGACAACAAAAGCAGCTTCACTAGGACTATTAAGATGATAGATTAAGATTAGAAAACACTTTGCACATTAAGCAATGACGAATTCATATTTAAGAAATACAATAAGATGAAAAGACGTACCAAATAATATGCTAAAAGGTCCTTGACAGAAAATCTGTCCACTAGAAGAGGAAACACACAATGGCAGAAAGAGCAAAAATGCTTATACAAATTTCTTGCAAAGGAAACTTGACAGAGCAATGTTCTTATAAGAAAGGAGGAGCTGAAGCACTTGTAGATTGGTGCTTGTAAAGCTAGAGATCAATGCACATAAACACAAACCAATTACTGTACAGAGAACCTAAAGAGCCATAAATCCTATTAAAATCTGACGGGTACAAAGTGACAGAATATACAGAAGGAACTCCTTCTGAGGCATGAGCAGCAGAGAAAAATTCCTAGAGATCACCAGGAATCTATTCAGCGATGCACAGAGGCTACTTGTTTATTGGTGTGCAGAGAAAGTACAAAAAAAGAGGTCGATATCGTCTAAGCAAGAAAGTTATTCTGTTCTGCCTAAACATGAGTTTTAAAGTTGATGATATCAAAGCTTCTGACTTATGTGATAGATTAGATTAGGTGGGGAAACTGTGATATATACTTGTCAGTTGGGTGAAGCATCACCATCATTTTTAAAATACCAAGCAATGCATCGGTATTTTACGAACAGCAACAAATACTCAAGTAATTTCATGTAGTAATTCCTACTGGGACAGTGAAAACCACTGAAAAAAACTGAGAATGGCAGGAAAAATCCCTTTGATTTCCTCTAGAAAAGGAAGCAATCATGGAAACATAAAGGAGTTGCTCAATGCAGGAATCCAAATATATATGGCAGATGGCTATCTAACTTACTCTTGAATGCCTCCAATGTTGAAGAGCTCACCACCTCCCAAGGTAAATGGCTCCATTGTCAAAGCGTTCTTGGAGTAGCAATATATTCTTTGTGGAGCAAAGTGTGGATAGTGAGCAACTCGGAACATGAAAACAGGTCTAAGGCCAAGGGACACATAGGGAGTCTCTCACTTGGATGCCCTCCAAAAAGTCTCCATGCAAACTCATTTGTCCCTTACAGACACATCCTTGTTAGTTTAGGCCCATGTTCCAGTCTACATTCTTTCTGATGACTATGAAGACACAAAGTACAGGAGACTTATTCAGGACTTTGCTGGAGAATAGGGCTATAGCTATGAACATGGTTAGAGTTTCCTCTTCAGATCTTCACATACAATGAAAAAAATGAGTAACATCTGGATGGGGGAAAACTGCTGGGACACGGCTTCTGTGTGCATGCCTGCATCCCCACCATAAGTATAGCCTATTCAGTCAAACAAATGCCTGACTAGGGTTCGAATCTTTGCAAATAAAGCACTTTCTTTTTCTAAATTGACTGATCTTGGCTGCTCAAAAAGTGTGAGTAAAGAAAGTGAAATAACCCTTCCTGCCCAGATACTAAAGGCAGGGTGTTGAAGTTTAAAGTAAAGTTCCCCACGGAGGCTTCAAATATGCAGAAGCAGCTTGAGCAGTAATGGAATGCAGATTCTATTGCCTTTATCTCCATGGAAGGCTCCCAGATAGATATGGGCACAATTGCTTCATGCCGGGTTGCTGCACGTCACAGACGTGGCACCACAGGTGCCACACGTTCCCACCCACATTAGCAGGCTTCCCCATTTGCCAGCTAGTGCACATTGCTCTTCTCCTGCACTTCGTGTGAGCATAGCAGGAGCTCATGCTTCCCTTTCTCCACCTCCTCCAGCAGCCATCCCCTCAGATGAGGTGGCAGGGCAGGGATTCCTGCAGCACTGCCTCTGAGTAGCCAGCTGCAGGAGGAGGAACAGGGAAGCACATGACAACCCACACAAAGTGATTTGTGCCCATCTCTACTCCCAGTCACTCATAATCTTTCCCACTGATTCATGTTGAGCCATATAGCTTGTCTAGTTATAGTACAAGCACCCCAAACCTGTCTGCCAACTAAACTCCAAGTCATGAAATTATGCTTAATTTGTCACACTTAAGTCTACAATCTGCTAATATTTTATGTAGGTCTCATCCCCCCGCAGTGGAATTAACTCTTTTTTATAATAGATCTACTATGCTATTCAAACTGGCAAGATGGCAGTAAATTAATGTAGACCAGCTCCCCAGCTGATGTAAATAAGGTGTTTTTTAAAAATATAAATATATACCCAGAGAGAGCTATGACCTTATTTTCCTAACTTCCTATTGGCTTCTTCAAGCTGTATCTTCAAGAAAGAGAACATTTCTCATCAAAACTTATCTGTGCTCCCAGGTAACATGACTTTAGCACTTCATCTTTTCTACACTTGGCTCTAAGCAAGCCAAGGTTAGATGTAATTTATTTTAAAGTTGAAGGGAAATGCAAGTGCACACAAAGGAAGATTTTTTTTGATTCCCAGCTGAATGTTCAAATGGCTGATGTGTCTGTTCACATTGTTCTTATTTCTACAATCACCCTGTATCATTTATAAGCATACTCAGAAAAGAAAATCCTGCTCCCATTTGCAAGATTAAACTGGGAGAACTATGCATACACAATAGATGCTTCACAGGCAAAAACAAAAGAAAAATGAAAGAACAAATTGAAAAAAAAAATAGCTACTGTGTCTCACAGTCCATAGTTGGATCTCTGAGTTTACCAACTGTGACAGGTTTAATTTTTAAACTGTCCAAAAAGAACAGGATGTGCAATAAAGCTGCTGCAGCACCCATTATAGTATTTGACTATGATACCCAATCACAATAAGCAACATATTAAACTGACAACAGTCAGAAAGCTTCTCCCACAAAGATGTGCCACTGGCATCTAAACAGCAGGCGCAGATCTTTCCACCTTGCGTATTGGCATCTTATTCCCTCAGGGTTCACTACACGAAGCTTTGGTCTCAACTGCCAGATTCAGAATGCAAAGAGTCTCCTGCACTTCTTGTAAATGCGACTGTCAGATATCAAGGTGTGAAGCAAGGTAATAAAAGATCAAAACCCGGGCTGCCTGCTTAGCTTTTGTTCTGTTCAGAACAGAAGGATTTAAAAATGCATACGCAAGAGTGTAGGCTTCCACAGTGACAAATTAGGAACCTATACTTTGTTAAACAGAAACTGAAAATCCACGAGATAAATGTACACTTTATCTACCCTAAAACTGACAGAGGTAGACTAAGCAATCTAAAAAAAAAACTGATATATCTGCGGGACAATGTGCATAATGACAAGAGCACTGTGTTTTGCACTTACTTTTCATAATTCTGAAGGCCTTGCTAGCAGTTCTCACATTGCAGAACGGGCAAACAGAAAATTTTGTTCATGGAGATCACTCCCTGCCCCAGTAGCAACATCTGTGCAAATAAAATTGTACACAGTTACTACGCTTATTGATACTTTTTGTTTGGCAGAAGCTTAATAGGGATACTGGCCTTACTCAGTAAGACAACTTCCTTCTGCTTTTATCTAAATTTACTCTGGTTGCAAATAATATATTGAGGACAAAGGGAGCAAAAGCAGCATGGCAAAAACTGGCAATTTAAATTAGTGATATATCAGGAAAGTAGTATGACAGGATCAACTGGTTAAACTCTAAAATCACAGGATTCAAACAATGCTAACAGGTAAGCAAATTAATAGGTTAGCTCTCAGCACCTGACAATCCCATAAATCCAATTCTGTAATGTACAAATATCTGTAGCTGCTCTCCTGAGGTAGTTCAACTGATGTTGAGATTGCAGAAGACTGCCATGTCAGGGCATCATGGTTAATGGGTAATTTTCACAACACTGACTTCTCTCTTAATCCTCAGATAAAGTGAAAAAGTTCTTCTCCTGACACTTATTAAAGCTCCAATTTTATTTCTCATTATTAAATCATGAAATTGGGGGAATGTTTAAACTAAGTAAAAGGACAAGAGACTTTTGAAAGGAGGCAAAATCTTTGAAGAACTGAAGAATCATCTCCAGGGGAAAAGAAATACATAATTTGCCAAATTACATGTATTTATTTTCTGCAACTATTTCTTTGCCTGCTATTTCATGTTCTGTTTGATTTTTAAGAAGAGAGCCTTTATGGAACAGAGAATTTAGGCTTTCCCTGAAATCTTAGAATAACGTGGATTATGAATCAAATTTCATTTTGGGACAAGCATTATAATTTGGGATAAGATTTGGAATAAGCATTGTGCAGTATTTTTACAAACCTATATTTGTTACAAATTACGTTCATACGGGGAACAAAAAATCTGGTTACAACTGAAGACAGAACATATTGCTAAAGTACTTAGTCACCCTTATAAATATGTGTGTGTTTATACACACATGCACACAGACTCCCATACCTGTACATGCAACTGATTCATAAATCTGGATTCCAGGAGGATGAGGCCTATCACTTTTAAAAAAGCATATTTTGTAATTACTACGAAATTTTAAAAACCCTCTGGATATCACAGCCTATCTGGCTTGTCTACAATTAGACAGAAAATACTGTACCATTAAATCCAGAAATCAAAGAAAAAAGGGGAGAACTTTTTAATTTATAGCAGGGTAATTAGATTTTTGAATTTTTTTAATTTTTTTTAAAAAATTAAACCATGATTTAAATCAACTTGATTCAAAAAAAACTATTGATTTTTATCCACCCTGATGTTTAAACTTGGCACTTCAGAACCTCATGGCCTAAAGTGAGAAGGAAACATCTTTCATCACCTATACTTTAATTGAGAGCAGCTGACCAGGTGGAAGCCAAACTCTATTTTACATTTTACGCCATCCATTAATTACTCTGCTAAACAAATCGCTGACACCTACCAGGGACAAATGGGTAGACAAGTATCCCAAATAAACAGCCCCTTTACCAGAGCAACTGAAGAAAGCAGAAGCCTAAATAAACTGTTTGCTCACGCAAATCCCTCTTAAGAGAAAAGAGTAAGAACGCTAGGGGTTGTGTATCTTCAAGGTGGATAGAAATCAATGAAGTTTTTAAAAGAAAAAAAAAAAGCAATTTAAATAAAAATTACCTTTTAAAAATAAAGCAAGACATAACATTTCTTTAAAAATAAAATCGTATGTTCTATTCAGGTCGTCAAAAAATCCATTTTGAAAAAAAAAAACCTTAAATCGTGATTTAAACTAAATCTACCCTGAGAAAGGTGTGT